GGTGGCGGTGGTGGCGGCGGCGGTGCTGCTCTTCGTTTCCATGATGTGGGGCCACCGGCTTTACGGCGCGTCTACAGTGGAGCACAAATGCTGTGCAGCGTGGAGAGCTGCTTGGATGTACCCAAGCAAACTGTTCGTGTTTCAAGAGCATGCCGTCACAGGAGCATCCATGCCCAGAACATAATTCCGTACGTGTTCCAAGAGCATACGGTCACCAGAGCATCCATGCCCAAACCATAATTCCATTCATCTTTTAATGACTGCGATAACCAGAGCATCCATGTCCAAACCATGATTCCGTTGATCTTTTATTGACTGCGATAGCCAGCGCATCCATCCCCAAACCATAATTCCGTTCGTGCATACGGTCACCAGCGCAACCATGCCCAAACCATAATTCGTCTTTTACTGCCTGCGCTAACCAGAGCATCCATGCCCAAACCATAATTCCGTACGTGTTCCAGGAGCATACGGTCACCAGAGCATCCATGCCCAACCTATGATTCCGTTCATCTTTTACTGCCTGCCATAACCACAGCATCCATGAGCATATGGTCACCAGAGCATCCATGCCCAAGCCATAATTCCATTCATCTTTTAATGACTGCGATAACCAGAGCATCCATGCCCAAATCATACTTCCGTTCGTGTTCTGAGAACATACGGTCACCAGAGCATCCATGCCCAAACCATGATTCCGGTTTTTTTTTACTGCCTGGCCTAACCAGAGCATCCATGCCCAACCCATAATTCCGTTCATGTTCCGAGAGCATATGGTCACCAGAGCATCCATGCCCAAACCGTGAAGCCGTTCACCTTTTAATGACTGCGATAACCAGAGCATCCATGCCCAAAGCATAATTCCGTTCGTGTTCTGAGAACATACGGTCACCAGAGCATCCATGCCCAAACCATGATTCCGGTTATCTTTTTTACTGCCTGACCTAACCAAAGCATCCATGCCCAACCCATAATTCCGTTCGTGTTCCGAGAGCATATGGTCACCAGAGCATCCATGCCCAAACCATGAGGCCGTTCATCTTTTAACGCGTGCGACCTCTCCTGGCTTGAAACACCTGCCAGCCGAAAGACAAGCAAAAAGTACGAAAAGAAAAATCCCAAACTTGCGTAACACGCACGCATGCGTCCGAAATCGGCGCATTTTCCGAAGAACCCTTACCCAACACCTCTTCTGGCAACAGAGCTCCTACGCTTGTACTGCTGCTGTCCCATCAACTGCTCGTAGGCTCGCAGGTGTGGCACTTTTGCATATTTGCCCAACGATGACAGCAACCAACCACACTACTCGGCAATCACAACAGCATGACAAAAAACTGCTTTTGCTACTACTACTACTACTACTACTACTACTACTATTACTACTACTACTTCTCCTTCTTCGACGACGATTACGGGATTGTTTCGTTTCTGATGGTAGTGGCGCGTGCCTTTTTGATTTTTTTCGGGGAAGGGCGGGGCTTTTTGAATTAGACCTTGGCATTATGTTTGGTCTGAGCTGTTTGTGCGTTTTACAGGGTGTTTCTGGTGATTTTGACATATCTGCGAGCAACTGCCGGTTTTTCAGGTAGGCTTCTTCCTTTTTCTTCTCAACTTAGTGCTCACCAAGTAGTCCAAGGTATGCCCCAAGAGTCCAAGGGTGTGAGGAGTTCTGATTTATTTTTCGTCTTCCCCAGAAACGTCCCATTTGTCCAAGGATGTGAAGAGTTTTGATTTAGCTTTGTCACTGTTTCATTAGTCCAAGGTACGTCCAATTAGTCCAATGTTGTGAGGAATTGCGATTCGATTTTACCATCGCCCCATTAGTCCAGGGTACGCCCCGTTAGTCCAAAAGTGCAACGAGTTCTGATTTGATGTTATCATCGCCCCATGAGTCCAGGGTACGGACAATTAGTCCAAAGTTGTGACGAGTTTTGATTTGAATTTTGGATTGCCCCATATCAAATGTATCATCACCATCTCACAACTGGGTAGGGCAAGGGTGAGAGAAGGTCTCAACCTTGTTTGCGCCTCATTTTCAGGGACATCGAGAAAAAGCTTAGGCTAGGGGGCTACCTAGGCCAGTCACAACCCTACCTGGCCAGCTTGTGTGAATCATGCTTGCGAATGCCACGATCAACGGCAACGCACCGTAGCACGTGCCATGTTTTGACGCCTCCATGCTAAGATCCGAAAATCACAAAATCCTCCCCACCCCAACTGCTTCGCTCGTGTTTGCAGAAATGCCATGTTTGCGACATTTTTAGCATGTCCAAGACCACGAAAATATACCGTCATCAACGAAGCGTCCGCGCAGTACTGCTACAACTACGGCATTTGCTGTTATTGTTCCTGTTACCGTTACTGTTCCTGTTACCGTTGCTGTTATTGTGACTGTTACTGTTTCTGTGACTATTACTGTTACTGTTTCTACGGCTTTTACTACTATTGTTACTACTACTGTTACTACTGTTACTCGTGTTACTACTGTTGCTACTACCACTGCTACTACTACTACTACCACCACCGCTCCCCCCTCCTACTACTGCTGCCACCAGTGCTGCTGCTACTGCTGCTGTTTTTTTGTTTTGGTCCAAGCACGAGCACAAATACTAACGACATTTTTCTTTCGTTACCACTGGTATTGTCGGATTTGTTGGAATTTCTGGTGCCTTTTTGTTTGAAAGCATTTCTGCTCTTCGTAGGACGGAGCACTGACTTTCTCATATGAGTGTAGCGTAGGATGGAAGATGATGGACGTAGAGGTTTGTGTTGTATGCCTGCCGACAGCCCGCAGGAGATGAGTGCTTCATCATCACTGCCTCCAGAAGTCATTTCACCAGGGATCCTTCAGAATACTTCGAGAATGTTCTCATGGAGAACCATCCTTATGGCTACCACCCTCGTGGAAGAACCCGCCACTTTAGCAGGCCGCTGCGTCCTGGAGAGAAGAAGTGGACTTTGGAGGACGTTATCTACATGGGACAGCACAACGTTTCAGCGCTGATTGATGATTTTCGTGCTCAACACGGCATTGTTCTTTCTTTCTACAAGAGATGGTTCTCAGAAGTGTTCCAAAGCGCGACCGGCCTGAATATTCTGTCGCAGCCATTTGACCGGAAGAAGAGGTTTTCGTGGATCCATGGTGCACAGTGTTCCGCTTTGGTATTGCGGTCGCATGGCCATGTTGGATGTGAAACATTGTTAAGATATTTGTGCATTGAATTTGCTTAATGCCGGGTTCTGATTCTCAAACCACGCCCCCCCCCCACAAGTCCGGAGCGGAATAATCGGGGGGGTCCCAAACAAGTTCGGGAAAAGTTGTTTGGGGGTCCGGGCCAATCCCTAACCTTGAGCATAGATACTGCTTGTACCAGCTTGCTACTATCTTATTAAGGGTTGGGTTGCTTAGACTGGCTGGCTCTCTCTCTCTCTCTTCTCTGGCTTTCTTCTCTGCCTGGGCGTTTCCAGAAGCCAGCATGCACTATTCCGTTCCTATGGTATTATTAATCCGTTTCAGCTCAGGCCTGATTTAGCTGTAATACGACCCCCTTTAGCAATCCGAAGTTGACCTTATCCCTCGAATATTTAACGTCACCATTAATATTGGCGACATGTTCCTAGACTCCGCCGACATCACCCTCGCAAAAGCATTCTCTTCTCTCACAGATATATTGTGTTTTCGGCAGGCCGTTGAGGTTACAAGTGGGCGGGTGGGTGTTTGCCATGAGTTGTGGGTCCAGCGTGTTCAGGCGTTCAACAACTGAGGTCGGAGGATTCAAAATCATGGCCAGAGATCCTTGCGAACGTCTTCCCAGGCTTCAAGATGCCAGTGTTGTCAAATTCTGCACAGACGAAGTGGTACAGCGAGGCCTACAAGGCGTTCAAAGCAAACCTCACCTGGACTCGAAACGAGATCAGTGGCATGTGTCAGACCGAAACTGAGCGGCACTTCTACAAGGCTGATGACACGTCTCCCTGTCACCACGAGCGCGCAGTAGCCAAATGGGTGCATGAATTTTCAGGCTCCAGGCTTCTATCTTAAGTGGATGCTCGGATTTTCGAAGCACAGTCTCAATGAAACCATGATCGCAGGTGTGAGATGTTTGTCAGGACATCCGAGGTCAGGTGAGGTCGTAGGCCTTCGGGGCTTTTTGTGGTGCATTCCCCCTTCATCTTGGTCTAGGGACTCTAATTTTAGATGAGTTTATGGTTTTTGGTGTGAGGGCTAGAGGCTTCGGGGGTCAAGTGGGCCACGGCTACGGTTCTACATGGTGGTAGGGTTTAGGATTTTGACCATAAATCTGTGCCAGTAAATGTAGTGCTAAGTTGCCACTTTGGCAACGCGGCATTTGCTATGTGGCTTCTAGAGGCAAGGCGGCATCATGAGGATCGATGCAGCTGCTATAGTCCCCAGTAAGTAGATAAAACCATAAGATCCCCATATACCCCATATTCTATACGCTATATAACCCATTGTTCTAGCTTCCATTTTCTTTTCCAGTATCCCCATATATCCCAATATAACCCTGACCTGACCCCATGTTCTATCTACTTAAGGGGGGACTGCAGGCTGCAGAAGGGCGGAGGTCCAACTTTCAACGCTTTCAAGTGAGCCCCAAGACCGTCCCAGATCTGATTCGCATGCTCACCGATCCCATTCGTGCCCGGGCCATCCAAAACAGAATAGTCTTTGGGTGAACGTCTGGGGGCCCCTGGCTTGCCATGGCTCCTCAGAAGACCATGTCAGGAACAAAAGAAAGCCTTTTGGCAATTGGAAGACGGCGCAAGCTCCAAGGGTCGACATGCAAGTCGGCGCTATGCCAAGATGCATAGTCCCCCTTAAGTAGATAAAATAGGGTATATGGAGATCTCATTATAATATACTCGTAGCCATATTCTATGGGGACTGTAGCTTAATGAGCATGTTTACAGCCATTTTGCTGTATCATGCAGTTAGGTCTAGTTGTCCCAAAGTGGAGAGTGATGTTTGCATTGCTGGTTCAAGCTCCACGAGTGACCCTAAACCTTAAACCTTCAATCCTAAACCCTAAACCCAACCCTAAATATTCCTGAGCCCTCCCGGCCTCAGCCAAGTCAAGTAAACATCAACGGTAGCGTTGCCTATGAGCTCTAGTCTAAGCTCCTACTATCTCCCTTGGTGACCCTTGTAATAGTCCTTTATAGATTCCCCCAAACAACCCCCTATAAGGAGTTGAGACTGTAGCTCATATGGGGACTGCAGAGTTCAAGCAGCCACTGAGTGCCAAGAGATATGAGCCCGCAAGCGCGCGACTTGCATGCCCGCTTGCGATCATGAGAAGCACCGAGAAACCGGAGGAGCCCGGCTTGGCTTCTGAGCTTTCACGGTCGGGGTTACGCATTTTAGGGTTTAGGGTTTAGAGTGGCCAGCAGCCTTCCAACAATCAATTGTGTCAACCTGAGGGCTGATCCAAACCAAGCTCCTGCACTCTAGCAGCACACCTTGAACGAAGGTACAGCACAGGCTTCTGACGGTGTGCCGAGTACGTGCGCCCTAGTGGCATTCATGTCATTCGCAGGACAGTGATTTGGGCGCAGCCTTGCGCAACTTGGCCAGATCTGGGCACGCATAGCACAAGGCTGCACAGGACTGAAGAAGCAGAAGGTAAAATCTCGTGACCCGAATCAGCAAAATCTGGTCATATGTTGTTCTAGCACTAAAGGGGAAATCCTAAAACATTCTTGGCTTACTGGAGCCCGGGGACGCGATTGTGGGAATTGCCAGGTTGCGTCCTCTTTGCCAGTGGCATTATCATTTCGCTGGGTGGCTATGGTGTGCTGCAGGCAGGGCCGGGCCAACAGTAGCGCATTTCCAAACACTGTAATCCATTGCTTGGTGTGTGCAGGGGCTTATTTCGCAGCAACCCACCTTTGCCAAGTCTTTGCTTGGGCAGGGTCCAGGAAACCAAGATTCGAAGAAAGCATGCTGGATGTTGTGCAGGAGCGCATCATGTCGGAGCCATACGGCGACGAGCCTTGTATGGTCTTTGGTGAGTGTAAACAGTTTGTTTTTCAAAAAAAATATTGGTGAGTGTACATACTTGGTGTCAATTCGGTAACATAATTTAGATGACTATATTGCCTGTTAACCACTGTATATACCCGATATGATAACTTAAGGTCCTTGGGGAGAACGGACATGGTGACGTTTCTTGGGCATGGAGGATCAGGAGCAGAGGAGGGGATATAACGGATCAGGCGCCCAACTGCAATACTGGGTTGCTGTGAAGGAACTTAGTTTAAGTTGCTATATTGCGGAAACCCTTTGATTTACTATATACACCCATTATAGTAACTTAAAGTAAGTTCCTTGACAGCAAACCAGAAAAGCAAAGAACTTCGACTGGCAATGCACGCTACTGCAGCATGCCTTCAGCAATTGAGGGATTTTAATTAGCTTTTCACCTGTGAACCGAGGAGTACTTCAAGGTTTCAGTCTTCCTGGTTCTTTGCAATCGCCTGGCTGCCATTCTGCAGGATTCTCAGCATGCTTGCAATTCATTTCCCTTGAACTCAAATACATGTGCTTGCTTAACGGCTCAGTCATTATACGGACTGGACTTAGAGGCAGTGCAGGGACACCTCTGGACCTGTGCCCCAACGTCCTGAAGTCCCAACTGCTTCGTTGCGGAGGTACACCTCCTACACCTCATTCAAAGGGCTCAGGGTTTAGGCAACTCTAAACCCTACACAAGAAAGTATCCGCTGGAAGAGTTACAGGAAGCTAAATTTGCAAAATGTTCAATTGTGGTTCAGTGAAGTTGGAAGGTTTGCTGTTTTGTGAACAAGTTTCTGTTGCAACCTAACAGGTCTTTGCTGCACAGCAATCTCTAAATGCACGAATGTACGCGCTCGAAAGCTTAAGCTTCCCCGCAACTTAGGTTTGCCGTGGTGATGGTGGCTTTGAAGGGGGAAAGCCACTGGGTTGCTGTTAAGGAACTTATTTTGAGTTATTAGAATGGTATATATTTCTAGTAAATACAAGGGTTTCCCCAATATAGTAACTTAAATTAAGTTCCTCAACAGCAACCCAGGCTATGCTGCCACTGCAGGAAGCTCAGTCTAAGTGAGCTTTCAAGGCTCAAAGGCTTAGAGGTTTCCAGCTTCAGAACTTTAGGTCTGTAGCAGGGGAAGAGTGCGCAAGAATATATTGGGGTTTAGGGTTTAGGATGGTACCCAGACCCCCTACTGGATCCAAAAAATGGAACCTCCCCTAATAATCCCCTAGTTACCCCTAGTTACCCCGATGTAGTAGTGGGTTCATATTGGGGGGGCGAGGGTTCAATTTTTTAGATCCTTCAGGGGGTCTGGGTAAGGAACGATGACTATGCCGGCAGCCATTATGCCTCAACGGCGTGCTTGTCCTCTTCGCTGCCAAGGTGCCTATATGGAAGTACCTGGCTGTATCTCTGTCCAACGTCTCAGCAACATGGTGCCAGTACGAGGCCTGACACGGATTCCTGTCTGCGCATTTTGAAGAACCAGACTTCGTACAGGCGTTCAGGTTACACTCACTAAGCTTGAAGCACGTTTCCATTCACAGAGGATGTGCGGCTTGATCAGACGCAGATAACAAAGCTTCCGTATGTAGTGGGCCTCAAGCAACCAGCCGTGGCCTGGTATGCCCATGACAGATCCACTTGTTGATCATCAGTGCCTAGCTGCTTCCCGAGCGCAGGCCCTGAAATACGTCTCCTTTCCCGTGCAGATGCCTGGGGCCTGACTTGCCTTTTCTTGATTCTCCTGCAACATGTCAGTTTCGCCATCCAGCGGATTTCGTGCTGCAATGCGGGGCCGCAGGCCCGAGCACTGCAGGATGCCCCTTCCGTTTACTATAGGACTCTTGTGCTATGGAGTGGCTTGCGGCGTGTTCGGCAAATTGACTCTTTTGACGCTGGCTTTGCTATGCTTCTGAACCTGGAATTTCAATTCCAACCGGCTATGAATTCTCAAATGCTGCTATGGCGGGCAGCGATGTAGACTCCTTGCGATTCCAGGATACGTGCAACAGCTTCAACTATGACGACTACCTTTCAGCTGGCTAGTTTTCTCATTTGGGCTGGCAGGCACTCTTTGAATAAGTGCTCGCCTTTAGCAGTACGCTTTCTCCATTCGCCCGGATGTATCCTCACACCGACTGCGTCGCCTCCATTGAACTACAGCATCTCCTACAGGTTCCTCTTTGACTGGTATGTGGCATCTCTGACTTTGTTATGTATCCTTACTACATCCAGTCTCTCTGGATTAAAGCCACTGTATGAAGTTATGTTGGGCATCACCTGCAGACAGTCGATGCCTCCAGAGAGGCGGGCCGGGGTGCCGCCATTGAATACTTACGCTATACCTCTTGGATAACTATGTCCGCTGACTTGAACTATGATGCAACATCACTTTGCGGCACGACGAATGAGCGGCTACCAAATCGACAAGCTCACGGGGGTGGTTCTCTTGTTGTACCCTAAGGAGTTGCTCTCTGACTAGGTTTCTTTCCTTGGGCTTGTCTCCCTGTGGACCCACGGAGACGTGTACAGATATGTACAGGCCCAGCCCCCGATGGTCCAATGCCAGCCTACTTGTAGCTTCTGTTAATTTGTCTTCTAATATTTTTCGAGCCCTCTCTTGTTGTGGTAGTTTCGTTCTGGATAAGGGATTTTCTCTTTGCATATCATCCACCTCCCTTGTGGCTGGTGCTGATGGCACCGATACTTGGAGCCTGCGCAGAGGAAAAAAATGCGGGGCCGCCTGGGTAGGTCCTTGAAGTAGGCCTGCCTCTTTCAGCCTGAATGCGCAAAGACAACCGATTACTAGCTCTCAAGCTGCAGCTCTGGCCCGCAGAAGAATCTCATCAAGGCACACCTCAAACCCAAGCACGGGCCTTTGGACCCTCACATGCTGATCACTGAAACTCTTCTGGGGCTGAAGTGCTTCAAGCTTATGACATCCGGGCCTGGCAGACAAAGGAGACTCCTAAACATTCCAATGGATGCTCTATGTTTGTGCTAT